TTATTCCCCGTTTATGGGATTCTCACACTCCGTGTAATAAATCATCATTCAAGATCAGCCTGCCTCATGACAGGTCCCTCTCCCTACCCTCAGCTCTGTGAAATTGCAGAAATCAAGAGAAAAGCCTGGCTCTGTACGGACCATCCGTGGGTGCCAGGCAGGAATGAGCCAAGGGGTCCACCTCGGGTGCTGGGAGCGCTGGCCTGTGGTCCCACCAAAGGGCCACCACCAGCAGCTGAGCCCAGTCGAGTCCCAGGGCTGTATCAAGTCCCAAGGCTGTATTTTTGCTAAGCTTGAAGTAAAGTAACTCAGGAGTAAAGATTTGAGTCCCAAATGTCTCCTGTAAGTCAAGGGGTGATAAAAATCAATGGGCGAGACATTCCAGCAGAAGTCGTGTGCCACTTTCACAAAGGAAATGGTTCTAAAATCGACTATTTTAAATTAATTTCATGTTTATTTTCAGTTGTTAGCAAGCACCAGGGAGTTAACATAGCTGCTGTTCTTGGAAGTTCTACAATTCAATTATTTCACTCTCTAAGAAGCTTTTCCCCCCTCTCTATAACATCCTGTGAAGTTTGTACGTTTGCGATACTCCAGTTTGTAAAAGAGGTTATTTCCTTGTCTTCCCACCACGTATCATCAAGGCTTTACTTACAGGGGGCAATAAGCAGGTTTGCAATCAAAGCTTCAAAATATATGGCATCCACTGTGCTTCTCAGACCTCTGCTTAAGCAAGCCTGGCAGCGGAGGAGAGAAAAGCATCTCTTTCTAGAAAGGTTTCGTGTTTCTAAACACACGTTGTGTTTCTAAATCCACTTTGCGACAGCTGCTGTTGCAGCCCGAGTTTTACTGTGTCTCATCCCCACCAGAACAACGTGGGCTCATCTATTCGTGGCGAGTCGTTGGCAGCAGAGGCTGGCCAGGGATCACCGTGCCAGTGCTCCTGGCTGAGCGGGGATGGAGGCACGGAGGGGTTAGATCAAGTGCCCGTGTAACGCTACGGAAACCCAAGCAGGAGAAAAAGCAGATGGTGTAAGGAACAAGAACATCTCAGCAGCCACAAGCCCTCTTGCCTTGGAGATGCGTTCCTACAGCTTGGCTCTGTTTGGAGCCCAGAGAAACCAGCATTGGTCTTTCTGTGTGTTAGGTGATGGCAGCCCGATACGTACCAGCTTCATCAAGAGGCAGTTTTGCCTTGGAGATGCCTTCCTACAGCTTGGCTCTGTTGGGAGCCCAGAGAAACCAGCATCGGTCTTTCTGTGTGTTAGGTGATGGCACCCGATACGTACCAGCTTCATCAAGAGGCAGTTTGTAACTTTGGCGTTGTATTTTTCGATTTTCTGTTTGATCTCCTGGATGGTCGGAGGCTCGGGTTTTTCTTCTTCTACTGTCTGCGTTACATTCTGAAATCAGAAGAGACAAGCTTTAGCTGTTTTACATATTGTGTAACGCTGCGTCTGTTGAGCTCTACTTTCACTTGGGAAACACAGGGACAAAGAGGCTGCACAGAGCCTGAGCTCATGGGAGCATCGATGGTGCAGGTGGAGATGGTCCCTATGACCAAGAGGTTAAATGTGCAGAATGCCACATCTCTGCCCCAAACCACCTCTGTACACCAGTAACGGGCAGTGGAGGGTAACACAAAATCTGCCAGTTAGTGGGAAACAGGCACAGAGCAGTAAAGACACCCCCATACAGAGCAGGGCAAAGAATCCATCCTCTAAAACGTGCTTCCAAAAAAAAAAACAAGCCGCCTGCACTTGCCGAGCGTTTCTTTGCTTCTTGCAATGCATTTGAAAAATCACATCCTATTTCCAGTGTTCGTGGCTCTGCCTACCCAAACCAGGCACCCCCTTAACAACCCGGGGTGCTCCTCAGCCAGCTTCCAGCAGGTTCACCCAGGCAGAACCTGAAGTTAAATCCCTGCTGGATAACTCCTCCTGAGCTTTGCAAATTATAGCTCAGAGCAGATCAAATCACACAAGCAGCAAGCCGGCTGCACGACTAATAAATCAGTCGCTGCAAAGCCAGTCAGGCATCGCAGCCCGTGTCAGAAATTGTTCAGCGTCTGCCCATGCGTGGGATCACCGGGATGGCGATGGCTACTGCTGGCTCAGGTTTTGGGGAGTTTCCCCTTTGGAGGCAAAAGACCCGCTGCCAACAAGCCTGCACGTGCCTGGGACGGTGCTCAGCAGGCCCCGTGTCCCGGTGCTGACCTTGCTGCCATCCCATAACTCCCCACCTTCCCCAGAGACGGGCTGCCGACACGTTTCACCCGGAACCGCGAGCAGCGCTCCCGGGTTCTGTGGGGGCTTGCTCAGAAGTTGGCGTGAACCGAGCACAGGAAGCGTGAAGGGATGTGCTATCAAGGCTGGTACAGAACGAACCTGTAACCTCCAAGAAGGGAAAAAAAGGGAGGAGAAAAAAAGCAACTTTGGGAGCAAAGCCTGTCTGTTCCCAGGCAGCCCCGCAGCACACGGACCAGGATGTGGCAGGCTGTAAATAAGGCAGTATCGCCCCAGGCTACCCGGGATATTTCTTTTAGGAGAAGAATCAAGTACAGGACAAACTGAAATCCTGGCTGCAATCTGGCAAGACGGCTACAGTCCTGGGACTCAGAGCCCCAAATTCAGCCAAGCGATTCCCAAGCGAGAGTTTGCAATTTCTGCTTGAGACCAGCAAACAGTACGAGACCTCTCGGAACACAGATCTGGAGCAGTAACCCACTGGAGGAGCACGGACATTGCATTATGGTCTCCTTGTTCAGAGCCTTCAGAAAATAAAAGCAAAGCTTTCCTGGGGTATTTAAGAATTGCACATAAACACCCACTTATCATAAGGGCAATTTCAACTCCACAATTTGCCCAAGCCCCTGGGCACATGCTTCACTGCAGTATTGACTGCAGTACGTCTTGCGTGGCTGCACACAGGTGCCGGGCTGGCGTGGGAGTCTTTAAAAATAACACCAAGGGTAGAAATTTTCAAAAGCAGTGCTGGGGAAAAGAAAAAGAAAAAAAAAAACGAAAAACAACAAAAAACTTCCCTTTAAGTTAGTGGAAGATGCACGCTCAGAAACCCTCTGCTTCCTCACGTCACCCATTTCACAGTGCCGGAGACGGGCCCAGCCGTGCTGCCACCCCCCAGGGCCACCCCCACCCCAACCCACAGCGAGCCAGTGCTTGGAGAGCCCCAGGACCATCCCCCCCAGCTTGCAAAGAGCCTTGGAGCTGCACGGCGCAGCGGTAAGGCATGCTGTGCACATGTGCTGCACTTCATCTGTGGCACAAACACAGCCCGGTGCAGACCAGCATCCACCCGGACACGCATGGAAAAGCCAATGGAGTGGCTCAGTCTGTCCCCAACACTGAATTTTTCTTCTCCCCAGTGGGGTGAGTCTCTCCCCTCCTGTGATGTTTCCAGCTGAGATAAATAGCATGTGGCAGCAATTAGGAGCTTTCCGAGCAGCTCGTGCGCTGATGCCACCCGGTTTCCATGGAGGACGCACGGTGCACCCAGGACCGCAGGAGCCTGGAGCAGTGCTGGTCCCCGGGGCTTCACAGCAGGCACACAGCAGACAGTAATTGCTTCGTGCTCTGGGAAACCTAAATCACCCGGAGCAGGAGGAGCGGGAAGCCTGGCTCAGGAGCACGGGGCTGGTGGCACCACCAACTCCATGGACCAGCGTCCTGCCTTCCCTCCCGTGTGTCTGCACGGATCCGCCGTGCCTGCTGGAAATAAACGCTGCCCATCACTTATTTATTTACCACGTCTATTTGTTTTGACTAACCCAAACATAAAACCCCAGGATCCCACTGCACACAGGGGCACCCGGGTCCTGCACCCGCTGCTCAGCCAAACCCTGAGAGCAGCACAGCCTCTCCGCCACACTGAGCCTTCATCTGCAGCCGGAAGAGCAAACACCCTGATGTTGGGATTGCCCCAAGGAAACGAGATTCCAGCCCTTGCCTGTCACAATTCCGACAATTTACACGATCATGCAGCCACAGCTGTGGGTAACAGGTTGTTCTCTCCCCTTCCACATGCAATTGCAATTGAAAAAGAAGCCCTGCATTATGACAATTTGACAAACACAGGTTTTAACGGCCATATTATGTTCTCTTTGGGTTATTTGATAAGTCATCTTGCACCCAGTGTAGAATTAATTTGCTTTTATTAAGCTCCCCATGTCAGTGACAGATGGTTTAACTGTTTCCACTGCAGCACAATTTAAGGTGTGCAGAGAGAGACCGACCTGTGCTGGAAAACGAAACCAGCGACAGTGCAGAAGCAATCCCACCGCACCAGCCTCCGCCAGCTCACCCTCCTCCTGCACCCTCGGACTCAAGGCAAAGAAAGTTTCACTAACCCCCTTCTCTGCAGCAATCCCACCACGGGATGGGTGACGAGCCCGGCACACACGACAGTGCTGGGACCAGACCCAAGGGACACGCTCCACCCAGGGAGGAGGCCACCGGAGCAGAGCTCACACAGCTGAGCCGGCTGCCCCCTGGGACCCAGCGTAGTGCCATCCCGGCTCCGGCAGCTATTTAGGGCTGAGGGAGCCCTGCGGGACCATAAAGGCCACTGGGGCTCCAAGGGCTCACCCCGTCACCCCTTCCTGCTGCTCACGGCAGCGATGCTCAAGCACGGCTCTGCCACAAGCCCTCAGCAGCGACCACACCATCCCCAACCCCTGCACACCCCAGGGCCGGAGACTCTGCTTGTCTGTTTTACAGACCATAAAACACAATCTCAGAGCAACCTGTCAGCGAGGACCCGAAGCAGCCCAGCGGCACCAGTGCCGCGGCGGGGCGAGCCCTGGGAAGAGAAGTGCTATTAGACCAGCTACTTCTTGCTCTTCATGAATCTACCCGGACCTCTGGTTTTGCAAAGTTTCTGGTGCAGAATATGCAATTCTGACTGAAGGAAGAAAACCAGAAGCTATTAACCATAAAACGTTGCCACACTTCCTGTTGTACTGGGACAGGATGAAAGAAGCTGTTAACAAAACATCTTGGTAACTCTGCCTGTGCCTAAACCCTGGCAGTCACTGCTTGACCAGTGGCTCTCCTGGCTGGAAACCGGGAAGGAGCAACATCGGCCCCCCCTGGGGCTGGCCCAGCCGCATGGCAGCACACCGTGGCATCTGCGTGCCAGCACACCACAGCATCTGCATGCCAGCCTGCAAACCCAGCACCTTCCCATCGCACCACCCTCGCGTGCAGCTGGAAGGAAAGTGATGGCAAGACTGGAGCTGCCAGGATGCTTCTACTCCTGCCCTCTTAAAAACCCGACACAAGAACATTACAAGGCCACAGATGCCCGAGGTCAACCACCACTGCCAGCTTGCTGGTGTCACTTAAATTCAGCAGGCAAAGGGTTTACCATCCCCTATGAAACTGCCATACAATAACTTGCAGGCAGCTGTAGTCTGCAGTGAGACGCAGGCACCCGCGGGCTGCCCAGGACCGAGCCCGGCCACGCAGCCGCAGTGGCCTGGGGCACCCCCAGCAGTGCAGAGAAGTGAATGTGCCCATGTCCTGCCCCTGCCCATCGCAGCCTGCTGCAAACGGGCTCCCCTTCCGTAACCTACATTATTTCCCAACTGTAAGAAACACCAATTGTAAAAAAGGGCTTGAGCCTCATCTGGCACTTGGGCTAATGCTCGGCAGGATAAAAGCCACCCAGAACAAGCGGCCCGGGAAGTGGCCGGCATCAGTGATGCACAATGCCCATCGCCTGGGGCTGGGGCAGCCAGGACAAGTTGGCCACAGCAGCCTCCTCTTTGCAATCCACCCCTCGTCTAATGAGCCGTGAGCTTGTGCCAGGCTATTACGAGGGAGGTAAAAAACCCATGGGCCATCATGATCACGGTGACACGCTCTCAAAAGAGCGATTCTAAGCCAAGAAAGGCAACAACAAAGCCTCTGTGACAGATTTTTCTATTTATCCGTTTGTAAGCATGCCAGGAGAGACACGCTGCATGTCCACCTGAAGAGCATCCTTCCTACAGCCTCTCACCTTGCAGAAGTCAACCCTCAGCTTAAATCTTTCTCAAGCAAGCAGCTCTGCACCACGTCAGACCTCTCTGCTGGGAATAACAGCTCTAGGTGGGACCCGGGAGCTTTCGAACGTGGCTGCAGCAGTGCAGAGGGAAGGGTGCCCTCTCCCCACGGCTCCCTGTCCCACCGCAGCCCCAGCAGGCCTCGAGGAGCTGGTGCATGGTTACAGCTTGGATGTGCAGCTCAAGAGGTGGAAGATCAGCAGGTCCTGAGCTGTGGCTTTGCTAACCACAGAACCAGACATGGGAAGGCACCATAGGCAGAAAGGCTGAGCGTGCACTTCCACGGGATGCTCCTTGGAGCAAGGGCCACTTCCCTGCAGCCACAAACCAGCCTCAGAGACACGATCCCTGCCCCCACCTTGCTCCCAGCCAGTTTTCCTTACCAGCTATTTAGTTAATGAATTTGAACAGCAGAACGGTGGGGATGGATTTGGCCCAACATCTCCACGTTCTTGGCAACGACTGTCTCAGCTGAAGGCAGGAGTGGCCAAGTCCTCCCCGGTGCGCTCGGGCACTGGTCCATCACCATTCACATCAGCAACACTGTGAAAATTTGCATTCTCAAAAACACAGCCCGAGCTCTCCCTATGACTCCTGTGTTCAGGTTGCAAGACTATTTTGAAGACCTCTTCTGAAGGGATTTTACACCTCAGGGGCATCAATCCTCAATTCATCTTCTTATTGAGGAAAGATTTGTCCTAAACCATCAGAAAACAAAGCCCAGAGAAGTGTGTCCGAGTGCTGCTGGCTGAGGAGTCGCAGTTCGGAGGAGCATCACCAGCTCATGCCCTGTGACCACGACCACACCGCAGCACGGAGGACTGGAGAGAAACGTGAACGTTTCAAATTTGAGCCAGGAACATGAGAACCGGTGGTTCAGAACTGTAAATCCAGCTGCAGCAGGGCTGGGGCAGCACCGCACGGTGCAGTCAGTCACCAGGGAGCTGGGACACCCCTGCTCTCCATCACTGCCACAGCCCAATGCCCCCCTGGCACCGTGCGCTCCCACGGCTCACAGCACTACCTGGGAAAAGGACTGAGGAAAAAAACCCAAAAAACCTAATACAAAACCCAACGTTTCACTCCCTTTGAGAAATTCAAATGAGACGCTGTGGTTTACTCTGGGGTTCAGGGAAAAGGCAAAAGATAAGAGAGCTGAGCATCTCTAGAGAAGGGGAGAAGGATCATTGCTGCGTTTCAGAGAGGTTAGAGGCGAGTGAAGATGGGCTCGGTGTTTTGATTGCCATGGAGATTTCACTTAGAAACCGTTCTTCCTGCCACATCCCTGCTCAGCAGCGAGAGCTGAGCTGGTCCTCCCAGGGAGCTCCATCTCAAGGGGGGTCTGGGCTGGATGAGACCCCATGGGTACCTGGCCATGGCACCACCTGTGTGCAGCCTGGAGAGACCCCAGTCTGGGTCAGGGAAGCCGGCTGGATCAGAGGGATCTGCTGACCCTCAGGAGCAAACACAGGGGAACCGATCGCAGCCCCAGGGACACCCCTGCACCCCAGGCTGCGCCAGACCCCCTGCAGACCCACCTCCCCTCTGGAAATCGCTCCATGCTCCGACAGCCCAGAGGGCAGAGACAATGGGCCAAGGACAGGACCCTGTGCTGGTCCTGCAGCTCCGGCTCCTCCTGTGTCGCACCGCATGCAGCACCAGGTGGGGCGATGCCCCGTGGTCCACCCAGCACAGCTGGGTACTTGCCACCACGCGGCTGCTGCACCTGATGGACAGCCAATTCTGGGAGCACGGGGTTTCTCCAGGGCTGGACGGGATCTTGCAGATCACCTCACCCAACCCTCCTTGGGTTTCAAGCACCTCCAGGGACGTGGCTGCCATCGCAGGTAAAACTGGGTGAAACTGCATTCTGTCCCTCTTGTGTTTTCTACTCTTGGTCAGAAACTTGTCCCTTTCTCCTCTAAGCCGGCTCTCCTGGCAGCCACTGACGCAGGACTCCAAGAGCAATTCCGCAGAGTTTTAGGCAATCACACTTCAGGCAGAAGCCACCAAAGCCACTCAGCTGAAGAGTCACGAAAATGCCAAGTAATAGATCTCTGGGGATGAGGTCACATCTGAGATCTAAACCGGTTCTTTGCTAGCGAAGAGTGATTGCACTGATGGTTCTGAAAATAAAAAGGAATTACAAAATTCCTGGAAAGAGGCTCTCCAGACTAATACAGTTATTTCAACCAGAAAAATCGTCTCTCTAATCATAGCGATCAAATTCCGCTGTTTTTTTAAATGGCAGGAGGCCCGTGTGTCCCCTCCTACCCCCCACACAACACATTTCCTCTACAGAGGCTGTTTCCAGGGCCTTTGAAGACCTGCCTCCCTAACTGATCCGTATTTAGCTTATTCCTGCCCCGTGCTGGTGACTGCCATCGCCGCAGCGCTGACCGCACTGCGCATCCTGTGCTCAGGAATCATTCCTGGGTATCTACGGACAGACAAACGTTGCCGTTCCCAAACACACTCAGCAGATTAATTCTGTTTTGGGCCCAAGCTGATGTTTTCCACCCGTGGCCAGTAGCAGGTACCCTACTTGGTGGGGAGAAGCAATGCTGTTGCTACATGCAGCTAGAGCAATGGTGGAAATGCTCCACGTTCAGTAGCATCGCTCAAGAGAAGTAAGATGCCAAGTAAGTGGAGTGAAGCAAAACCCAAGGAAGATGTCCACCCTGGGGCTGCCCCTGTCCCTCTGCTTTGCTGGCTGCTCCCCAGGCACATGCTCTTCTTGACACCCTCCACCCACCGTCCAGCCCAGCCTCACCAGACCACCTCCTCCTCCTCCTCCTCACCACGCTCCAGGATCAGCCCCATCCAGAGCTGAGGTCCAGCCTCACACTCCTGCAGGACCTGCACCACCACCAACCCCCCAGCATGCCATGCATCTCCAAAAACCTTCTCCCACCAAGACCTAAAGATGGTTCCCACCCCCATCCAGAGAAACACAAGGACCCACCTCCACACACCAACCCATTACACAACATCATTTGCTTGAGCAGCGAATTTGCATGCGGTGTTTTGTTGGGTCTTGGTTTTTTTTTTTGGTGTTGTCTTTTTTTTTTTTTTTATGCACAGGAACCATTTCCTCCCCATAACACCAAACTCCCGAAAGGTTTCATCATCTCCAGCAGTCGTGAGGTCTGCCGCCCACACTGGCTGCATCCAGGCGAGGAGCCGGGCGAAAAGGGGCTGCAGCAGCCCCCGACCCCTCTGCAGGGAGAGCTCCTGAGCACGAACGTGATCAGGCTGATTCCGAAAGGCAGCTGAGGTTCTGCAGTGCCCTGGCTCAAAAAGAACAGCATTAAACCAGCACAGGGTGCAGCGCCCATCGCACCAACACCGCGCTCTTTTACATCTCCTACACAAATGAATCATCAAACGACATTTAAAAACCAGCAGTACGTGTCGGTTAATCATAGCGAGAAGGAGCTGCTGGTTAACAGGGAATATCCCATGTTAAACCCGAGGGAGCATTTCTCCAAAGAAATTAAAATTAAATTGCCAGTTGAGTTAAACTCTCCTCCAGATCAAGCCCTCCCCCCCCACCAAGAACATCATCCCAGGTCACCCAGAGAGCCCTCCCGACTCCACGCTGCAGAAAGCTGAACCCCGAAGCACCTGCTGAGGATTGCAGCTCAGCAGCCTCGGGCATGCAAATATAGCAGAGCCCCAACAGGAGCACGTCAGTGCCGATGGTTTGCCGGGGAATTTCTAAGTCAAAAAGCTGCTCCCTGGGCCAGATCTCATCTCTCGGCACCACAGGGCGCTCGTTCCTGAGCGAAACCCCCACTTCCGCAGCAGCGCCTTCTCCTTTTATGCTCAGCTCCGGTTGGGGCCCCAGTGTTTATGATGAGGATTTTATTTTATTTTTTTTTAAATAAACACTTAAAATGCAAAGCAGCCTTGTCAATGTTCCTGATACAGAAATCTCATCCTGGGGTGAAACACTGCCCAGCCAAGCGTTCTCTCCTTCTCCAAGGCAGACACACGCACCCAAGCCCCCAAAAAACAACTGGATTCATCACTGTGTTAATAAGTTTGCAGATTAATTTAACCCTGTAACTTTCCCATCTCCCTGTCCACCTGGCAGGTACAATTTTCACCAATGGTTCATATTTTGCAAAGCCAAACCCCAGGTCCCCGGCCGGGAGCCTGGCCCGTGGATGGCAGCCAGCAGAGTTGCTCCCTGCCCCCCCAAAGCTGAAAAAAACACATTTAGAGTCAGCTCCTCCACCACGATCCCTCGGGAAGGAGCCAACCCGGCACAGCGAAAGGTCGAGACGTGGCTGAGAAAGCCCTGCAGCAGGCCAGACCCCTGCCTGCGAGCGGGGGGCAGACAGAGCCCTCCCTCCTCCCTGCCAGCTGCAAGCTCGTTCTGGCAGCACCCGCAGCCAAACGTGCAGGAACACCGACATCTCCCCTCGCCAGCAAAAACCCCCCTGCTCCCCACCCGGCGCAGCCCTGCGCACTAGTTTTTAAGCTGTTACCTTGGCAGGGACCTTGCTCGGCGTGCTCCGGAAGAAAGAGGTTTTTGCTGTGAAAAAGCAATCCTCGAGGTCTTCATCCAAGCTGCAGTACCCGCTGCT